GAGCTCACATTTGATTGATGATGATGGCACTTGAGTGCACACGATAATCATTTATAAGGCGTATAAGTGTTTGCTTAAAGTTTCCCGGATCCTGGACACCAACAGGACACCATGCCACTCCTCACATGCCCACCTCCTCGCTCCCTTATCCAACAGACGCTGTCGGCACAATGCGCATAGATTCAGACTTCGATTCAGACTCCGATTCAGACTCAAACTCAGGTTCAGATTTACATTCAGTGTCAGATGCGCTGAGATGTCAGATTCTGAGGCTGAGGTCGTTGGAATTATGGTTACACCGCACAGTGGAACCGCAGCGTGTAAATCTTTTCAAAAATCAAGAAATACTAAAATATTTGCACAGAAAAAAATGGGTATAAAAAGCAATTAACTATTAACAAGCAATTAACTATTAATATTAATGGCTTAAATGAAAAACATTACGTTTAAGATAGTTTTTATGGTGCAAGTTTTTGCTTGCAGTTTTCTTATAAATTCAATAAAATATTAAATTAATTTAATCTTAATTTTTCTGGCTTAGGAAGAGACACTCTTTCTTTTGGCTTCAACGGTAATCAGCTAATTTTTCAGGAAGTATATTTCAAACTTTCTGGAAAATAAGGTGAGTTCCAAAACTCACTTTTAACTTAGAATTGAGATAATGTGGAATGTCTTCAAGGGATTTCGCAGCGCAATGGGCGGAGCTGGTTCCACTGTACGATAAGGTGGCTGGCGTGACTTGGATGGCGATGGCGTTGGCGATTGCGAGTGCGACTGGGCACACACCAAAGACCTGTCAGTTGCAGCAGCGATAGAGTCTGGCATTGTCAGAACATGCCCCACGAAATTTGCATTAAAATTGGCTGCTCTGAGCGTGAAGTGACTAAATGTGTAAAGTGCGCGAAGTGTGCGAATTGGTTTGTATTTGGCATATGGCGTTTTGCTTTCGAGATAAGCTTTTCAGACTAGTACAAACATGCAGCAAACAAAACGGAAAACACTTCTCAAGTGTTGAGCTTGGGACAGGCTCACTTATAGCAGCCTAGTTTAGAAGCAAGCCAGAATGATGCTGGTACTAACTAAAAGTAAACGCATTCCAACTCCGATGCCAATTGGCATAGAACATAAAGAGCCACAGCTGTTTGCTGTATTTGAAAGGATAAGCCCTGAGCTAGTTGAAGAATTGTCATTTACAGCGACTTTACTGAAAAGACAAGAGTTGGCATTTAACACACATTTGCTTAAGAGATAAGTGTTGGCATTTGAGACGCCCACTTGCCAAAAGGGGGCGACTCTCGCCCAGCAACGTGCTCTCACATAATCTATTTAGTGGGACATCAACATCAGTCTTCAACAAGGGCTGGCACTCAACAAAAAATCTGCTATCGCTGCAGTTACCAATTACGGCAACTGCATTGCTAATTAGGTACAACCACACACACACACACACAGACACACAAACCGAACCCTTGCATTGCTTTGTGTGGGTGTTTTAAATGCGTTGCGTATACGACACGTCTGACAGCAGCCAGGCAGGCAGGCAGGCAATAAACTAAAATGGTACAAAAGAAATTAGCAGTCGACTGCCAGGACACTTCTCGCCCCGCGGGTGGACGGAGTGGCGGGTGAATAGACGATTTATGTATAGGTGCTCTCGTAAATGATTAGCCAACCCAACCGAGGGAGTTGGATGAAAGCTCAACCATGTGTATAAATCATAAAAACAATATATATATATGTATATATGTATATGTATGTTAGCGAATTGCAAAATACCATAAAGCCACAAGGGAAAGTGTGATACTGCAAAAGAGACAGAGAGAGAGAGAGAGAGAGAGAGAGAGAGAGACAGCATGAGTATGCATGCGTCTATTGCATCACTAATTTTATAATAAGCTTTTACACAACTTCAAATTGGGGCTTGCAAGGGTTGCGTGTTAAGTTAGCTAAGTTGAGCTACAACACTGCATGTGGCATGGCCAGTGTAAAGTGCTCTTCTGTTGCTTGGCCAAAATAGAAATATCACAAAAGCCACAATGGCAAACAGCAATCACAACACGATTCATTAAACGTTAATGCTGCGGACAGCTGACAATTGAAAATGATTTCCTTGTTGTGGCTCAAATTGTGGCACATTTTAAGCCAAACATAATTTGCAATCAGTCAATTAGAGCAGCCATTGTAAAACTGTAGACTTAACAAGTTAATTAAATATTTCACTTTAAATGGAATCCAAAACGTAGCTCTGATTTTGGTATTGAACTATGAAATTATACGAGATAATATGTGAGGTAAGTAAGGAAGAACGATGCGGTCAGGCTACACCGATTACCAAATACTCTAGTACTATATATAAATAAGTGAATATATATATAAATGAATGTCAGCTAACTGAGCACATCTGTTGACGCTTAAATTAATAATTGCGGTGCCCACAAAGACAAAACAAACACCGCCAGCAACCACCAATAACAATCATAACAAACGGATACTGCAGGACAAGAAGCAGTATTTGGTGGGGGTGAGGATTTGGAACAGGAAGAGCAATCATTAAGACAATAGGCCCAGTGGTTGTAGTCGCATCCTGCCCATTGTTGTGGCCGGGATTTAGATCGGCATCACATTGGAATGCCCCACTTGCCTTTATGTCTTGCCGACCGCGATGGGGCACGGCGGCAGGGGTTGCGGGGCAGGCAATACAAATGGGGCAGGCAGACACAGCCAGACTGCCAGACAGAGGCTGGACAGAGAGACAGACAAATGGCATCGCGTGAACTTTGTGCTTTGATTAAATGTGCGCTTGATTTGAGAATGATTTAATTAATTAAACGCGCCCACTTTTACCACTCTCCTTGCCCCTGCCCTTGTCCTTTTCCTTGCCGTCTGCGTCCTTTGCCGTTTTTTACTGGTCGCCCATTGGTGGAAATGTTTTTTTTCTTGTCATTTTGTCAACGCTGTAAACATATTTTGACATTTAATTATAAATTTGTAAAATACGCGTGCAATCGAATATTCCACGCGCAAGGCTGGACAAACGTCAATATTATTTCTTATTTATATTGTGTTGAACCCAATGGCCATTTAAATGGTAGCAAGAAAATACATACATATATATATATATATATATATATATAACTGTATATCGCTGTGAGTTCAAGAAAAGCGCCATATTTCTGAGTTGGCCTCACTGAGTTGGGTAACTCATCCTATTATACAGAATGTACATTTAGAATATATATTTTCATTATTACTTTTTAAAAATATTTGATATTAAGAAATATATTTCGGAAATATAGAAGGAAAAAACACTTGTATATTGTTCGTATAACTAAAACCTTATTTAAACAAGCAAAACTTTACAGTTCTTAGAGCGTTTTTCATTTTAGGCAGATTTTATAAATTTTAAGGCGATTTTAAGTAATCAGTAAAAATTGCTATCATCATCTTCATTTTGCTTTAAATTATAAAACTTAACTTGTAGCACTGTAAAGGAAAAACATCAATAAATAAATTTAACAGCAATTTTGTATGTACATTTAATGAATTCAAACTTTTGACAATTCCAAGCTTTTTCACTATTTATATTTAGGGAGATTAGTTCCAATTCCATTTCCGTCGCAGCAGCAGCTGCTCCTGAAATATGCCCAATTCCAGTCTCAGCAAACATTTCTAGATTAATACATATGCACTCATTTGATTGTATGTACGTATGTATGTGTGTATGTGTGTATGTATGTATGTGAGTGAATATCAGCGATTGCGCTAAATGTTTCCGCTGCGACTTGAGAGCACATTCCGGCAGTGAGCTTGCCCAAGTGGGGCGCTGAGAGTGAAGCGACTCATTCCACCCCACAAATCTAATGGCGACCACAATGAATTTGAATCAATTAAAATAAGTTTGTTACTCAATTGGTGAGGTGTTGAGCACATACAACACACTTCCATCACTAAGTGGATAGGGAACGCTTATATTATGAGGCAACATTATTTATTTCAATAAATTAGCTATTATAATGGACTAGGTGTACATTTTTCTTTCATTAAAGCATATTATTTTGCTCGAGTAAACAATTTTAATTGTTTTTTGTAAGGGCATATAAAATTCGGGGCCAAATATTTTATTTATTTAATTGTTTTTTTTTGTTTTGCTTTCTGTACAACGTGTAGTTGGTTTGTTAATGTTTGACGTGTGCAATGAATCACAATCTCAGGACTGCATTTCCACATTTCCAGAAATGACTCACGACGATGAAAGAGAGAAACGCGACTTGCGAGTGGCTACTCAAGAGAATGGAGTGGAATTTAATTCCAGTGTTAATTTTTTGTGCTTGGAAATGACGACGGCTGCCTAATTGAACGAAAAGAAACGGATCGTCTGTTGATAAGGTCGTTCCACATTCAAGTTTAGCGTATAGCCAATTTATCAGAAGGCGATAGCCATAACCGACACAAAACAGATGTTAGCAGAGAACCACAAACTTTCAGCTCGGAGAGTCGCGAGCGACAAGCGCTCTGTGAGCGCAGCTCTCTTCATACAGTGAATTTAAATATGTGTGTTAGTGCTGCCACCACATCGGCCAACACATCAAGATAGATCAACCAGAAAAAAGCCAAAAAAAAAAAACTTGTATGATTGTTTTCCACTTGCCTTAAAAATCAATAGTATATATATATATATGTAGAGGCATCCATCGCTTAATAAGACATTATGAGACAACACAATTTAAATAGAGTGGCAAACGTTGTTTTATTTTGCAATAAATAAATGCATGAAAAAGAAAAATATTTTTTATATGTATGAGCAAATAAGCAGCTTAGTCACAGATCTGTCCAAAAAGAGGCTAAAAAGCCATCTCTGTTTCACGTACATTTGTTTTACGCTCTCGCTCTCGCTCTCTGCCTATGTGTGCGTGCGTGCGTTTCTCATGTTTTGTATTGCGCTCTCATTCTTGCGCTCGCAAACGAGCCGTTTGCTTGCTTGCGTTCTAAGCTTTCAGTCGTTTCGCCGCTGCCAGTGGCATTTTGTGCTTGCTCCCGCGCGCAATGTGAATTTTACTGAGGCATTGAGTCTGTCTATTTTGTTGTTAACGTTTTGCAGATTGCTGCTGCTGCTGTTGTTGTTATTGTTGCTGTTGCTGTTAACCATTAGCCGTTTACAGTTAACAGTGGTGTTTTGATTTTGTTGTTGCTGCTGTCATGTCTGTTAACCGTGACAACGATCGCAAGTATTTGCGCAGCATTGGCGGACTGTGCAAGATCGCCTGCCTGGTAAGCATTATTGCATCTGCCGCCACGCCCACTTTGACTCATACATGTTCTGTATTTTTTTCAGCTTTGCGGATTTATTGGCTTTCTGTGCATTGTGTGCAGCACGGTGCGTTTGAGCAATTTTCGGGGCTGCTTCTACTTGGTCGTCATCGTGCTTGGCTTTGTGACGACGCTGACGCTGCTGTTCTGCCGCTATCTGCGTATCGGCCAGAGCTGGAACTTCAATGCGACGCTCTGGTCCCTGGGCGTTCACACAGCTTTGGCGCTGTCCCACTTTGTTGCCTCGGGTTTGGTGCTGGCGCTGGACATTGGCGCCTATACAGCAGCAGCGGTGAGTTGACTGTGTTGAGTTCCGTTCTGTCATTCGTTCCTTCGTTTGTTCGTTTGTGACATCACAAATTGAGTCTCTCTCACGCTCCTTCTTACGCTCTCTCTCTCTCTCTCTCTCGATCAATTGCAGTTCTTTGGATTAACCATATTTAGCATTAATGCTCTGGAGGCATATTCCTACTACAAGCGCAGTCGGCAGAGAGATGTGGCCACCCAAACGGTCTAATCACAAACCAAGCCAATGGGCTGTGTGTGGAAACCAAGAAGCTGACGCGATATTTGTGCATAATCTTAAGCTATTATCAATCGAATGACTGTCTATGTGTGTTATTAGTTAAATAAAGTCTGAGTTTGCTAGTTAAGCCAAAAGCTATTGTTGTTGAGCTGATTAACGAATATCATAAAGTCGATAAAGGGCCACCCTAAAACCAGCAATGTATTCTACACTGTGTGTACTGTATGTAACTGTAAATGCGCAGACATAATTATGAGGGCTGTCATCATCAGCGTTGACCGTTAGGTGTCAAATAACTAAGCGTGAAAAGCTAGGGTTCAGAGAGAGATAGATAGTCCGAGAAACTGAAAATAAAAGAGAAAGCATATACAACTGCAGAGAAAAGAGTACACACATTCAAACATACAAAAACACACACACACACACACACAGAGATATATATGTAAATGCATGTTTATGTTATGTTATTTGAATATGCTCTTCTATTAATCTACTAGTGACTAAGAAATAGAAAGAGATAAAAAAAAACATTCTGACAAATGCATTGCAATATGCATATTTACTGCGATAACCATATATGTACATATATATAAATATTTATATATATATTTACAAACATGTATGCCTATGATATTTCAAACGCCTTTGTATGCTGAGCTTACAAATACTATTTGCTTCTCGACTTGCAGGTGATGTAAACACCAAAAATGATTCACCCATCGAAATGAAGTCTTTGCGGGTTTTTTTTTTGGCAAATCTCATTCAGCTTTAGCTTTTACGATTTGAATGTATCCAGTTCTCTCCAGTTCTCCCCCCTTGGCAACTACTTTCCACACTTTTCGCATAATTCACCTTGAGATTTTTATGTTGCTGTTGTTGTTTTTGTTTTTGTTACTTTCTCAGTTGACAGTTGATGAAGTTTTTGGCTTATTTATGTTACTGTTGTTACTTCAGTTATTGTTGTGCCTCTTCTGCGTCTGTCGCTCTGTCTCTGTATGTCTCTGTGTGTGCACATTTATTATTGAAGTTAATGTAGTGCGTCATATCTCAGTGCACTTTATGTAAGTTGAAGTGGGACCACCCTAAAAAGCCGAGAGTGCGTTAGTACACTGAGAAAAAACAATGGGTAACAATGAATTGCTTCCTAGCACACTTCGAATCAAATCAGACAATTTTAATTTTACACAATTTATTTTCCTGTAAAGAGATGCGATGGTTATTATTATTTCTATTTATTTTTATTATTTTCATTATTTTTATTATTATTATTTATTGCGAGTCAGTTAGTTAAAAAGTTGGTTATTGCCGCCTGAGCTCATCGGGCTTATCGCTAAACAGCTAAACTTTGTTGTAAACAAAATTAAAATGAAGTCACTTGCAGCTGCCCTTATCCAATTGATCAATCTTAACGCGTCAACGGAAGAGGCCAACACTAAATAGCCAGAGGATGGTGTGTGCATGGAATAGAGCAGAAGGATGGGATGGGTGGCTATTTACTGCGTCTCATGAGTCATTGGCCTCATGACCAAGGCAAGTGGGGAGGCCATTGCAATTGATGGGCGTGCCCTTGACTTATATACATATATTAGACTGTGACGTGAGAACGAGTGTAATACAAGCAAAGCAGACATCAACCACGGCATACACCAAACCAGCAACTGCCAGACGCACACCACCCACTGGGAACTTGGAAGTCGCTTTGGTCATGCAAGTCACGCAGAGCGAAATTAATTAGCCTTGTTCCCAGTTTGGAGGCCCGGACCAAGTGCCTCAGACTGTATTTATAGAGCAAGAGGTGTGAGCCACAAGCCTCAAACCACAGTAACCAATTGCCCATTGCCAATTGCTAATGATGATGATCTCGAATGACAAGCAGCTGAATACCTGATTTGTTCTGGCGATCAAATGCATTCCAAATATATATATATAAATATATATCTATATGTATTTAAGGGAGCTTAGCTAGACTTCACAATTGGTGTTACCACTAAACGTGATTCAGGAAAATGCCATTCCCCAGTTTGAAACCAGAATTTTGTTTTTAAAAATCTCATCAAATTCAAATATATATTACATCTAATTTTATCGATAACCGCATCCGTATCGCATATATCGATGTCCGATAGCAATAAAAATGAGTACACTTGCAGACGCGCTTACATTTGGGTGTGCAAAACTTTGAAATCGAAATTTGGCCATCTAGCTAGAATCTATTAAGCAGCTGGATTCATGACATATCGTAGACGAACTCACTCGACTGTTATTTGTTAAGGACTGTAACTGATGTGTGAGCAGATAAAGTATGTCATTTATGTTTCCGATAAATGACAGACGAAAACAAAATTAAATAAAATCTTTGCAGAGAAATCTATCAAAATTTAACAAAAAATTATAAGTTTTGTGGCGAGGACAGTGCACAGAAATATGGTGATGCATTGTGTAGACGGAGTGACTTATCCGAACAGAATTGCATCGCATTCCATTCGATTCCAGTTGAGACTGCTGCAGCTGAGGAGGCCGACAGATGAGCACCTGGAAAATTCTGTATTTCTCATCTGAGCTGAAAATCCGCTGTGACTGGATATGCATTTGCCATATGCTTAATGAGCAGGCTATGGGGCGTGTGCTCGACTCGATGGATCGTATAAGGTATATTATTTATTTACAATTCAATTGATTCTAACCAATTCCCATTTGTGCCTCAGAGAAGATTAGGCGCTGTGAAATTCCGATGTTTTATTATCTACCACATGCAATAGAAGAAAGCTTCACTGCATCCGAAAATTTGGGAAGTGATGGAATAATGACACTAATACTAAAGTAACTGAATCGCTTTCGATTAACCAATTTGGATACTTAAAAATTATCTGTTTATTTCTCTTGTTTTTTTTAGCTGTGGACTCTGTTAGGCGCTTTGGCAAACTGCTTGAAGTATGAGGCCAAATACTGCAGCTGCTGTTTTTTAAATAACATTGACGGTACTCGATCTAGATTTATATATATATATATATTTTTATATATATTTTTTAGATTTTAAGTCTTTTCGTCAAGTAAATCTATTTCGCACTTTACAAATAAACAAGTTAATTTACGAGCTTCCATTAATTATCTACTATTTTCTTATTTATTTTATAAATTAAAAGTAGCCAAGTTGTTCAACCAGTTTTTCAAACGGCTTTTTCGCATTATGCGTTCGTCAAAGCTTTGAACGACAACTTGAAAGCTACAACTGCAGTACATTTCTGAACCATAACTTTAAAGCTTTAACTGAACGAAGAGCGGAGCTTTTGGGGCGCATTGTAATGAACTTAACTTCTATCGTGCAAGCTCGAAAAGCGAGATAAAATCACGCTTTAAAAGCTTTCGAAATCGTTACAGATGAGTGCTTTAAGTCTCGAAGCATTGCAGTCATTTGTGTGTATTGCTAAACGCTCAACTTTGCCAGCTAAATAATTAATTATTATTAACGCCAATTGTAAACATATTTCTAAATAATTAATATGCATTTGCGACTTGTTGAACTACGTTTTACATGTGTTATTTTAGTATTTCCAATTATAATTCTACTCATACAACTCTGAATTAGGAAAATTAGGAAATGTGCTGAATTTTTCAATTCCTATGAAATCAATATGAGATATGACTTCGATGTTGATGATTTATTTGTTAGCATAATAACATGCCTCTTTAGCGAGTTTTGATTTAGGAAAGAAAATGTTTTGCATAGCAGAACTCATCTATCCAACGATCGTTCCAATGAAAGCTATATAATATAGATAATGGAGTCGGATATATATACCCAGGATCATCAAGATATGTGTACAACTGCGGAACTAGTTTGGACATGGATCTATTGACTTGGCTAGTGATGTTGATCAATTATATATATACCGGATCGGGTTGGAGACATCTGGTTCATTGGATTGAAAGCTGCATCCAATAAATTCGTTATCAAATTTATTACGTTCCAACGTCAACTGACTCTTCTCGCATTGTCAATCTGCAATCAACGCAGCCGAGTTAACCCGAGTTGATCTGAGTTGATCAGAGTTAATCAGAGTTGAGCAGTGTTTACCCAATTTCAAAATAGGTTTGACAAAGTTTATTTCACAATGGGATTGACTAAGTTTGTTTGTTGGTCAACTTGTGTAAGTCAATTCTCAATTTTGTAACGATCCATCTTCGGAACGCCAAATACTTTCATTAATTTAACATGCGATTGTGAAATGAAGCTGGCGTTTGCCAGCGATTACATTGCCACACTCGATGCCACTGCATCATCCGTTAACGTGTCGCGCCCCCCAAGCGAACGCTTTTCAAATGGGCCTATCGCAATTTTCATATACATATATATATATTTATATATATATATATATATATATGGCAGACAGAGTTAGGAACACTCATCATTTGTTTATTTATGTGACACGAGCTGTCGATTCCTGCTCCTGCACTAATGAAACTGAAATGCTCTGAAGTATTTATACCCAATTTGCCAGCGCTGCATAATAATTCATTTTATTGGCAACGCACTGATTGGCCCGGTCCAAACAGCATGCACATATACAAATGCACATATGTGTATGTCTGAAGTGAAAATACAACAGATCGATCCATAACTATTAAATATTGCTGATAAGATAAACATATTTACACATGGCCAAAGAGAGGACTTTAAATCAGCAGCGCCAAGCTTCAAGCAATTTTCGCAACACAACATTTATAAGTTGGTAACAATATATAAATGTCTATTAATTAGTGCATAAATTGTCAGTTGCATTTGGAAAATACAATTAATTGTAGTTGCATTGGATCATAAGAAAATGTGAAAATCCATTTCCATTCAGCAACCAAATTGTTTTCTACATTTTTACTGACACTGAAAGAATATTAAGTTTCTTGATTGATATCAAAGTATTACTTAATTTCGATAATAATAAAAACAATATGAGGATTTGTAAGCAACCAATAAATAGGAAATAAAAGATGTAAGAGCTGGAGTAAAAGTGATACATTTATCAAATGATGACTGTCAAGTTGCTTTCAAAATTTGTGGCTTTTCTGTTGGTTTGGTTTGTTTTTGTTTTTGTTTTTGGTCTGGAAGTATGCAATCGGTCGTAAAGCCGGCATTAGAGTAGGCTAATGGCAGAAAACTATCTTTTTAATGACATTTCGCATCCCAGGCACAGTCGCTTGGAGCAGGAAGTAGACGGAGCCAACGTTGACAACTTTGTAGAGTGCGTAATTGCTTTAAAGCCTGATTTGGAGACACGCCCCGCTATCTCCACCCAGTCAGACAGTCAGCCAGACAGACAGATAGTCAGACATATAGTCAGACAGTCAGTAAGTCAGACAGTCAGACAGTCAGTTAGTCAGTTAGTCCAGTGCGTTGCTATTAGCGCTTGAGCTGAGCATTGATTTGGTGCCTTGTCGGAAGCATCGTCGTCAGTACAAGTCCATATATTTATGTATATATCTCAACGCCCACACATCCAGATATGCAGATGCAGATGTAAATACAAATATTTTCGATACATGCCAGAGTCGCGTTGTTGCAAGTTACAAGTTACAGTTTACGAGGAGCAGAGTGGAGCAGAGTGCTCGAAGACCTTCAGTGGGCGTTTGCATGGAGTTCAATGCATGCCGCTAACTGAACTGAGGAGGTAGTCAAAAATACCCTCGAGGCACGAGGCAAAGGCTTTGGCTCGATCATGTGCAGTTAAATTGATTTGTTGCTTCGGGCCGAGATCAAGTCAAGTGCGAATCAATGAAAATGAACGATTACCGAGTTTATTAAACCTGAGGTGAATAGTGTCAAAATACTGCCACGCACTATTCGAAAAACATGCTTTTGATAATAAATCAATGCGGTTTCATATAATCGATTGGCTTACGATTCACATTGCTATCTATATTGAAAGCAACAAATTCGTTTTTCAAATAATTAAGCATAAAAAATACACAGGAAGAACAGCTATATTTGAAAATGAGTTTTTCAATATAGAATTCAACTTTTGAGCTTTGGTTGTTAATTCAAATAAATAAATTTTGAAACAGTAACAAAATGTGGGATAGAATTAGATTTCCTGGAAGAGAAATTTATGTATCTTTGAATAAAACGTTGCATCTTGTTCAAATGCTGCCCAATATTATTGTAATATGAAAAAAACAAAACAAATTTGGTACGCAAGAAAAGTTTTTGAAGAAGAATTCAATCTTGGTTAATTTTGTAACTTTTTGTACAGCTTCGCATGTCTGTCAAATGCTGCCCAATCTCGGAAAATTTGGCTATGACAGCAAAACAAAATCATATTCTTATGTGCTCAAAGTATTGAGCAATATATGAGTTCAAAATTGAATTGGTTTTGCTTATGGCAGTTGTGCTTGAGGGCGATTTACGACAGCATTATCAATTTGTAGCTTAAAAAATTATTGGAAATAATAAATTGTTGCCATGGTGGCATGTAAAAGAGAGTAGCCTTTACAGATGCATGGAGAATCGTGGACTATAATATCCAAGTCAATTGGTCAATAGCATATTAGATGCGGTCAACGAATCAGGCAGAAGTGCACAACATGGTCAGCTGAGTAGCACGCAGATGCAGCCACCATTTGGCCAAATATACAAAGACGAATAGTGATGCAGATACAGATACAGATATAGGTACAGATACAGATACAGATACAGATACAGATACAGATACAGGTACAGATACAGATACAGGTACAGATACAGATACATATGGGCACATTAGTTTCGCTTTGGCATGTTTGGGGCCAAATTGTTTTTTAGTTTCAGCTATTGTTTTGTTTTGTTTTGTTGTTGCTTTTCTGTGTACTTTGTCCCTACACATCGACACATGTATGTGTGTGTTTGTGTGTGTGTGTGTGTGGCATTATCGCTTGTGGGAATTGATATCTGTGCCATATCAATGACATCACCGGGCAGCAACGCGCTTAAAGACTTTGTCGCTAGTTTGTATCTTTGTTCGCATCTCCGCATCTCGATTTGCTTTTCGTGTTTCCAATTGCGCTTTATTTTCATTGGATGCCATCGTGACGCCTTGACAGCAAATGCTATTTTTGTCCTTGTTGTTGTTGTATTTGGTATTGTTGCTGTTGTTGTTGCTGTTGTTGTTGCTGTTGTTGTTGCTGCTGTTGTTGTTGCTGTTGTTGTTGCTGTTGTCGCCGTTGCAGCTACTGCAATTGTGCAATTTGACATTGTTAAAGCGCACAGTCATACTTAACTACATACGCAGGTAATTCAATCAGTTTATGGTGTAACTACAAAATAAATACGCATTACAATTCATTTTGCTGTTTATGGATTGCAATAATATCGATCAAATTTTAGTCAACGAGAAGTCTGCTAAGTGTAACAAGTCAAAACCGATAACTCATTTGAATAATTAATCGAATATTTATCTACAAATGAACCGCATAGTTTGGCTTGATTCTTTTTTTATTTATTAAATCAGGAATTTTGTGTAGTAATTAATTTTTAATTATTTATTAATGTTTTAGTTATTTATTTTTAAATTAAATTAAACTACTCTACATACATTTTATTAAATTTAATTTTTTTTAAACCTTTTTTTTACAAATCTGAACCGTTTTAAGTCTACATTAAATAAGTGAAAAGTTTCAGATGAAACAAAGTTTTTGATTGCACAGTTTGGCAATTAATAAGAATACGAATCTGCAGTTTTTGTTACAATCCATGAATAAGAATATTGATCTGTCGTTAACCATTGAAACTAAATTCATTATTATATCACATACATCTGTGATATTAATATTCGTTAATTTTTTCTTTTTTATCTTTAATAATAATAAAATTTTACAGCTTGTTTGCAACTAGTAAAAGAAGAGAATATAGAAAATCGTTTTTCAATCTCCGGATCGATATCTACTGGAACATGCTTTTGTCAGCTAATTGTAGATTTATTTTTTTTATTTATAGAGTTTTTTTTTAATTGATTTTATACAAACGCAGATCTTACATATCACTGAACGTAAATATGGAATTGAATACATTTTGATACCCTGAAGTTGATAGCTACACACTTGTTTACACTTTATTCTACATTTAATTTAATTCATTGAACTTAGCTAGTCGAAATACTGATTGTGGCGAACTATTTAAGCTACCCTCGACCTCGTTCGCTCAGCTTGATGTATATGCAAAGTTAACATTGTTTTGGCGTTGTTCGATTTGCTTTTTGTTTGCCAATATTTTTTTTTTTTTTTCTTTTTTTTGTTGTAAATCGAATTGTTCATTGGAGTGACTTGTGCATAGTTGGCAAAAGATGATCCTCAGTTTGATTTGAGATTTGGATTTAGATTCAATTTGGCAACTGAACACCCATTGGGTGAACTCCTAACTAGGTTAACGACTGTGGCAACTTTGTTACCTTTGCCCGACATTGAATTGATTTGTATAAAATCAGAAACCGTAACAAGTCGCAATTGTCACTGAGTATTATAATTTCTGCATACGAGTTTTTATTTAAATGCCGCCCACAGCACTTGTGTGTGTCGAACAATCAAGTCGAGACTCATAAATGTCGCATCTAATCGGTTAATGGCGCTAATTTGTCACAGTCCAGTTAATGAAATGACAAACGCGTTTTTAAATTCGATTTCAAATGTTATGCAAATCATTTTTAGGTACAAATATTTGGCCACTTTTCCACTTATTTCCTATATTCGGCCCAAGCGTTAATTTGCCGAACATCTTGAATATATGAATATATAAGGCTATCGGCTAGTTATCGCCACATAGCTCTGTGTTTTTTGCTTAACCATTAAGCCATTCCATTTGGCCAACAACACATAAAAACATCAAATAAAAAATTTAAGATATACGCAATGTGTAATGGAAATACCATCAGCCAACAGGCATTTCTTAGGGCCAAATTAATAACACGATACTTGGATCTGTGCAACCAAACTCGGGCTGGAGCTGGGCCCAAGCGTGTGGCAATATACTTGGAATTAGGCCAGGTTTTCTAAGCTTCAAAAATTACAGCTGAGTCCAATCTTAACTCGTCTGTTTTATTCCAATTGCTGCATTTGTTGAGTGAAATTGCTTGTTCTCACTTCGATAGGCAGAATGACAGATAGTTCAGCTTAATCAGCCATCAGGCGACACAGAGTGTTTGTAGACTCTGTGGAAGGACAATTGAACAAACAATACAATATACATGCAACAAACAAAACATCGTTGAGCTGACTCGTTGAGCTGACTCAACTCTTGTTTCCATAGGGAACTCTTGCGAATATATATTTGTGCTTTTTTGCCCAGGTTAAAATTTATAAATGAAATAAAGTTTTTGATTACAAAATTTGGCAATTAATTGGAATAGCTACAACCGATTTGGCAAAGACCAATCGTAAGCATTGCAACTATATTTCTTAATATGTAATACATATCTGGGATAATAACATGTGTTTTTTTTCTACATCTCTAATAAGAATATATATATATTTTTTTAATTCATTGATGTCTGCTTACAGAATTAATAGATATTTTGGAATTTCGGTTTTCGGCCGATAAGGTTGTCGTCATTACTGATAAATCTACATCACCATTATCAAATAGTTTTAATAAGTTAGTACTTTACTCTGCCTTCTAGTAAATCTCTAGTTGATCTTGCAATTAACTTGCATTTTATATTTGGATTAGTCTGCTTGAGATGAAAGCTTAGCTTTTCCGTCGGGTTGGGTCATTAATATAAATATTAAAATACATATATATTAAACTACAAACAAAGTGCAATAATTAAAGCAATTTATTATTACCTGTGAAGGAAATTTCTCAAATCATTTCCGATTATTTTGCCTCACCTGCCAGTTGAATAATACAAATCATTAGTTGAGCTACGAATTTTCGACTTCCACTGCTTCGAACATGCACATCTTGAAAGTAACTGAACACACTTAAATAAATATGTGTGTTATATCGATATCAATATATATATATATATATATCAATTTGATCAGCTGCTAATAATGCTAAATCAGGATTCTTAAGAAATCATTGCTTACAATTTGCAACAAACTTAATTTAATGAGTTTAGGCGTGGGCGTGGTCGTGGGTGTCTCAATTGCATGCGTCACGTGCTGGCAACAGAACAACAACAGCAGCAGCAGCAGCAACAGCAGCAGCAGCAACAGCAGCAGCAGCAGCAGCAGCAGCAGCAGCAACAGCAGCAGCAGCAGCAACAGCTGTCGCAGCAGCAACAACAATTGTGTGCAGCATTTACAACGTTTACCGGTTTAAGGCACAGCTGATCGATCGATGGAGGCTGCTGCTTCATTCATGAACCGTTCAACTATTACCAATGCTTGCTTGCCTGCACTCTGGCGCTCTCTGGCTGCTGCTGCTCAGCTGCTGCTCAGCTGCTCAGCTGCTGCTCAGCTGCTCAGCTGCTCTGCAGGTCTGCAGCTCTATTGCCGTGGCGCTCTTTGGCGCTGGCGCGCTCGCTTGCGCACACTGTCTCTCTCTCTCTCTCTCTGTCTCTCTGCCTGTCGGCGGCTTTAAAAGTGTACGACGGCGCCTGCGCGCAGCTCAGACAGTTGACGGCGTTCGGAGCGAGCGCTTGGGCAAACGACGCGTTTCTCTCAATTTCTGGGTTTGTTGCCTACTTACCGTTAAATCCCGATCGTCAAAAATCGCCCACGCTGCCACAAACCCCCCCTAAAAACCCCCCACCCACCAACGCCGCCCAACAAGCAGACAACCCCTCCACAGACCGTAAGCAAATGGAAATATGCGTGCGCGTGTGCCTCTTGTATGTGTGTGTGTGTGTGTGTGTGTGTGTCTCGGTGTGTGTGTGCGGAAGTGGAAAGCCAAGTCCAACGCGAAGTCGTGCCACATCCTGCAATTACGCGCTTTTGTGCCGCGTTTCGCTTCTCGTTTTAATAACAATTTAAGTGGACACACACATACAATTTTTTTTTATTTATTTATTTAATTTTTTTTATATTTTTTTGGTTTTTTCTTCATTTTTTTTGTTTGTTGTTGTTTGATATTTGTTCAAGTGTTCAAGTGTTTGATTGGGCGGCATTTCCGCGTTATGAAACTGAAAAGTGCTTCAACCAACAAAAGAAAAGAAATAAAAATAAAGGAAAAAATGCAAAAAATATTAACTACTAAACAAACAATAACAATAATTATGGCAAGTGCCATGCAAATTAATTACAACACTTGATAAATACACTTCAAAATCGGAGATTTTTTTATTTCTGTGGTTCCGCGCTAAAAGTTTCCTGTATACAAATAAAAAGTGTATAAAAAAAAAAATAAAATAAAAAACACCAAACAAGCTAGCAACAAATAATAGTTAAGATTAATAAAATGTTGCTGCAATACATTTGCTTTGTGGCAGCAGCAGCAGCAGCAGCAGCAACGACCAAGACAACAACAACAATATCATAAAAATCAACAGCTGCTGTTGCTGCATGACAAGTGATTGCAGTTCTTGTTGTTGTTGTTGTTGTTGGTTGCAGTTGTCGCTGTTGTTGTTGTTGTTGTTATTCCTGCTGCTGAAACGCTAAACAAAATACCGATAATCGACAGCAGCATCAGCTCAAGTTGCTGCAACAAAAAACAGCAACACCAACAACAACAACTGGAAACAGGAGTGCGTGACCCCAACACAAAACTCACTTGCCACACTGTTCGACTGTGTGTGTGTGTGTGTGTAGTGTGTGTTGCTGTTGCAATACCTGCTCCCCACCAGAGGGTCCACTTGAATGCACGAAAGTGAAATTTCACTTTGCAGCCTGCGCTGCTGTTGTTGTTGCTGCTGTTGTTGCTGTTGCTGTTGCTGTTTTTGCTGTTGTTGATGTTGTCGCTTTACATTTTTGCTTGATAATCAACTTATTTTCTGTGCTCAATATGAAAGTGAAATGCAGCTGCAGCAGCATTCAACAGGTCAATAGCAAATTAACAAAACAACAAAACGAAACACAACAAGACAACAAATCGAAAGCGCAACAAAACTCAACCAACAACAATAATAATAATAATAATAGTAATAACAATAACAGTAACAATAACAATAGCAATAACAACAAAATACATTATTGCAAATTGCAATTGTAAATTTGCAGACAGGCAAAAGATGGCGACACATGGACAACAAGTGCATCTATCCGCTGGCATCCTGCTGATGCTGATGCTGATGGTGATGCTGATGCCGATGCTGACATCCTCGCTTGCTGTGACCAAGTCGCCGACTGCTGCCAAACAGGAAGCTGAGCATAAAAATGGTAAGTCAACTTTTGAGTTTGCCAAATTAACAATTAACGGTTGACGGCGAAAGTGACAACGCTCAAAATACTTCCGATGCCACCACCCACCACTGAAACCCCTATGCCCCTGCCCTCTGCCCCCTGCCCCGCCATAATTACACCTTTCCCTTTGCTATCTAGCTGAGAAGTGTGGCGCATAAAGTCATCAACGAGCAACGAGCAACACGAAGCACAAGATTAGCGTTGTTAACATCAACATCAACCGGTTGCAGGGGCATTATGTGTGGAAAAGGGGGCTAAAGTCAGAGAAAGGGGGGGTGGTGTTAAGGGGGGCTGCTCAACTGCTGATGGCTTTGATTTGTGGCATCGCTTTCACTTTGGCAGCTGCTTTTTTGTTGTTTCTTTGCTGTTGTTGTTTTGTTGTTGTTGCCTGGCTGGTTTCTTGATTTTCTCGGGCGTTTGATGGGCGTGTCAAGTCTCCAAAAATTTGCTTTGTTTAATAATGATGTCGGCCAAGAGCAGCGTAGCTCAACATTATGGCCATAATTGGATTACGTATCGCTTACCTTGTATGTTAACTCGATTCCCGCAAGTTCGCTGTGAACTTGACTCTCCGAAAGGGTAGTCAAATGAAAGTTGCACAATGAATGCAAATTGCATATATATGTATATATATATATATGGTCAGATGTTTGATTGGCGTATAGTAATACTTTCTTTAGAAATCGACTCGAATTATAAAACAAAGCAGCTCCTTTTTTAAATTTAATTAATTAATTAGAGAAGACATACTTTATCCCTTAGTGAATTATACTAAATAAATTACTATTCTTATTCAAATCACTTTAATTATTTTATATTCTTATCTTTTATAGTTTTTTTTTAATCACTTGCAATTATTGCTTAACTCGCTTTACAAATGCAATTTTATCTTTGCCTTTATTTGAACAATTTATAGTAATAGTTATAAACGATCTGCCCCAGTTTGATTGGATTGTTAATTGACTTTGCTAATGTTATGCAAACGAATTTCTGAGCCAATTCTTCAGCTTCAAACGAATGGCTTACATGTGACTTAAGCTCATCTGCATTTTTAAAACACTGTTGCAGTTGAGCATTCCCACGCAACCAATTAGGGCTATTATATAACTTCCGCACCAAAGTGTTACACTTTACAACTTGGGTGCAAAACTCCAAATATCTGCTCCCCCATTTGCTAACCAATTGCCGACTCTACTCGGACAGACTTGACTTGATGGCCAGCTGTCGCTCCCAAATTGCCAATTTATCGTTAAGTAACTGAAGACTGGAGACTGGAGACTGGAGACTGAGCTGTGAGTGAGGGCAGAGCGTAGAAAGCGAGAAAAGGCCAGCTAATTAATCAGAGTTGAGAGCAACAATAAACACCAAAAAAGACATCGCACAACAAAAGACAAAAGACTAACACATATGTGCATTACATACATACATACATACATACATACCTACATACATCATGTGTGTGTCTAGCCATCTATCGCGGTCCGAACACATTTTCCCAGTTGCTGCAACTTACGAAATAGCCAGCAAATTTTGGTGCCTCGAAACGGGTCTCATCTGCTGGCTTCCGTATTTTTGTTGATGTTACTGTTGCTGTTGCAGCTGTTTCCATTATTGCAGTAGTTGCCAGTTGCCAGTTGCCAGTTGCCAGTTGCAGTTCATTTTCTTTTGTGTACCCCCCGGTTGCCACTTTCCATGCCACATACCGCTTACCGCCCTTCATCTGTGGCCTCTGTGTCATTATGTCATGCGGTCGCCAGTCCCAATCTCAGTTGCAGTCCCAGTCCCAGTCCCAGTTGCAGTTGCAGTTGCAGTTGCAGTTGCAGTCCCAGACCCACTCCCAGTGGCCGTTGACACAGCCCAACTGCATACATATTGTACATAAGTGTTTATTTTGTTTTAAGCATATATATATATATATATATATATATATGTATATATATATATATGTATATATATATAACAATAAGGCAGCTCACATTCATTGTTGGCTGCACATTTTCTTTTCTTTACAATTTCCCTCGGTTTTTCTCTTTGTGCTCACGTAATTTCATTGGAATATTTTTTTAACAAGCCAGAATTTTGTAATTGAGCTTGTAGATACCCTGTGCCTCAACAACATAACAGTTTATTGGCTTTATTAAATAAAGATGAATAGAAATGTACTTATTAAATGATGTAGTAAACTGTTATACATAATGCTTCTTACGATTCATTGCCTCAAAGCCCTTTTCTTTTGTGACATTAAACATCAAGCACTCAAAATCGTCTAAAATCTCAACTGTAATTTATCCGGCTATGTAATTTCCAAAGAAAAGAAAACACATACATACATACATACATACATGATGTATAAAAAGTTCAATATATATATATATGTATGTGTGTGTATAGAGTGATGATGAGGTTGTCAAGTGACGCCCCCAATTCGTGGCTCGAACGAGCTGTAAAATCGTAAGCAAACAATTGCCATTCATTTGCACAATGAATGAAATTGAATGAGTGCATGAAATAATACAAATAAAGCGATTCGAATACAACTACAAAATTTAATTCATGGCAAACTTAACGCTGGTTTACAGGCCATAACGCAATCGCTATTGACGTGGCCCAAAACGTGGCCAAAAAGGCGTTGCATGCATCGTGCCGCAATCTGAAGATCTACTTTGGCTTCATTAGAGCTGTGGTTGAGCTGAGCTGCTTTAGTCGCACATACTCATAATATTCATTTCACTCATACCCATTTGTTACTGTGTCAGGCTCGAGTTGGAAATGGAAACTGGGTCTTTAACATTGCTCAGTTCATTTTGTACTTAATTATGGACTTAAATGCACTTTATAATAAATATATGATATAATATATATATTACTACAACTATTCAAGATACATAAATTATTATTTTTTCTTTTGTTTTGGATGTACATAATATTATAACCAAAAAAATATTCCAGTAAACTCTCCCAAGACATTGATAACTTTATTATTTTAAGCACAGCTATAGAGAATATAAGGATGATGATAATAAGAAATAAAACCCATAAAATTAGTTTGTCTTAGTCAGATCAATTTAATTATGGGTTTGTTGGGTCTTGTCAAATGCTTCAATCACGCAGAAAGGTTTTGATATTCATGATGTGCTCTCAGCTTGCCATCAGTTGTATCATTCTTTAATTGAAGGCTTGTCCACATTTATTAAGATGTTTAAAATATATTCCATTCCTGTTGCCTATAACATATCGTGGTATCAAATACAACGGCTTAGATAGAATAATATATAATATAAATGGCATCATTTTGTATCCATTCTTCAACCCACCCAAGTATTTTCAGCTTATTAACTACCTGTTGAAAGAACATTTCACATTATCAGTTAATGTTTGAGTTGATAGATGGATTTTCGAAAGAATCATTGTAACTGCCACTATGAATGAAAATAGTTTGCTTCAAGAAGTAAATCCAAAGATTTTATATTATTTTTTTGTAGTAATGTGAATAAATAAAATATATTTAAGCTTGAGACTTTTTGCAGTTGCTGTTGTTGCTGCACTTGTTGGCAATAAGCGATTTGAACTTTGGCCAAAATATTGAATGGCTTAAAGGCTTAACAGATTCGAGATTGTGTGTGAGTGTGTGTGTGTGTGTAATAGGCGTAAAAGGAGACATGCTTAAAAACTGGAACAAAGAGCAATTTGGTTAATTGTTGCTGTTGTTGTCATTGTGTGCATTGTGTGTTTGTTGCTGTTATTATTCAGTTTAACGGCTTTTAAAATTTAAATGCCCAGTCTTAACCTTTAAAAGCAACGAACTGTGCGACTGACGGACCGCCAAACTGACCGTAATTACACAGTTTATGTGCGATGTGATTTTATTAAAGGTTTCGTTATACGAAATGCCAAACGCATTTTGGGCAATTGAGCAATTAAGAAATTGAAATCGAAACTCAAACTCAAACTCGAACTCAAACTGATATCGCAATTAAAATTGAAATGAAAAGAAATGCCGCGACCGCCAGCCATCAATCATTGATCTAAGGCAATTGGAATTGGAATTGGGCAATGCCCCAAAACAAATAGCGTCGCCAAACGGTAGCGACATCGTTCATTCGTTTCCCAGATAAAAATTAAGATACACAGACAGACAGATAGAGACAGAAAGAGAGAGATAGAGACAGCGACTGCGAGTGCGAGAAAGAGAGAGGGCGAGAGACCTTGCCTGAGTATGCAAATAAGACGATCTATATAACGCATCGGGAAACTAAAAAAAAACCATTGACTTACATAATCTGATGGCAAAAGCGTATAATTAGCTAATGGTAAAAAATCGGCAAAATCCAATTTGATCCACATTTGGGGGTACTTTCGCTCTCAAAAAGTACAAAATACGAAATTAATCAAGAGCTGTAAGCGGCACATTTGAAATTTGTGGAACATAATGAAATGGTTTTTGTTTTTTTTGTTGCTTATGCTTTCAACTTGATTTTTTTTGTTGTTGCTTTTTTTTGTTAACATTAAAATAAATTAACGAAAATGTGTGACCTGCTGTGCAGAGTTGAGCTAAGCTAGAGTATTAGGGACATACATCACTTTTTTAAATATATACATTTATGCGAAATAATATTTTATACTGTCAACATGTGAATTAAATAAATATGTTGTTAAAATGTAAATAATATTTATTTATGTATGCTTTTTCTGCTCAACATTTTCATTAATTAAATCTTCAATTTCTACAATCAAACTAAAGCATTTTCTGTGTTTGTCAAATTGTTGGACAAAATTTTGAATTGGATCCATAGAAATCATCTGCAAATTAGGCAAGCAATAATGCAGTATTATATTGAGAAATATAACGATTTAATTAAATTACAAAAACTAATCATAGAAATGTATGTATTAATAGTGTATTTGATTGTCAACAAATTAAGTTAATAATTTTGTTGCTGATTTTTTGGTAACACTTGATTAATTACTTTTCGCGT